GATGGTTAAAAGTGTTTGGAGTTGTTTCTGCATCTTCTAATCTATTCCATTGTCCTCAGATCTGTTTTTATGCTAGCACCATGCTATTTTTTTTATCACAGTAGGTTTGCAGTATGATTTAAAGTCAGGAAGTGTAATGTCCCCTGCCTTTCCTTTGTTGCCGAGAATTGTTTTTGCCATTCTAGGTCTCTTCTGGATCTAAAGAATTTTAGGAATATTTTCTCTAGTTCTATGGGGTATACTAATGGTTTTTTGATCTGGATTGCATTAAATCTGTATAAAAATTTTGGGAATATGGCCATTTTCATTATGTTGATGCTTCCTACCCATGAGCAAGGGATATCTTTCCATTTTCTGATATCCTCTTTAATATCCTTTTTTCAGAGTACTGTAACTTTCAACTTATAGGTCTTTTACTTACTTTGTTAGATTGATTTGTATTTCATTTTTTGGATGCTGCTTTGAGGGGTGCCATTTCCCTATTTTCTCTCTCAGTGAGTTTGTCATTTGTGTACAAGAATGCTATTGATTTTTGAGTGCTGACTTTGTATCCAGCTACACCACTGAATTTGGTTATTAAGTAGAAGTTTTTTGGTGGAGTTTTTGCATCTTCTATATAGAGCATCATGTCGTCTGTGACTAATTATAATTTCACTTCTTCCTTTCTTATCCTTATGCCTTTTATTTCTCTCTCTTGTCTATTTGTTCTGCCTAACTATACAAAACTATATTGAATAAGCATGATTATACTGGAGATCCTTGCCTTGTTCCTGATTTTAAAGTGAAAGTTTTCAGCTTTTGTCCATTTAGTATGATGTTGGCTGTTGGTTTGTCATAGATGGCATTGATAAGATTAAGATAAAGACCATCTATTCTGATTTTCTGTGGGTTTTTCTTTTCATGAATGAATGTTGGACTTTCCTTAAAGCTTTCATTGCATCTAGTGAGATGATCACATGACTTTATCTTTGACTCTGTTAATATGGTATATTATATTTATTGATTTGCATATGTTGAACCATCCCTGCATCCATGGGATGAATCATACTCAGTCATGGTGTATCATTTTCTTGATGATTTGCTGCATTCTTTTTACCAGTATCTTATTAAGGATTCTTGCATTCATGTTTGTAGGGAGACTGACCTATAGTTTTGTTTTTTGGTTCAGTAATTCACCGATTTAGATATCAGGATAATACTTGCTTCCAGGAATGATTGTGGAAAAATTGTTTCTCTTTCAGTTTCATTAAATAATTTCAGCATTAGTGGCATTAGATCTCTAAATTTCTTGTAGAATTCAACAGTAAATCCATCACAGCCTGAGTTTTTCTTTTTTGGTAAGTTTTAAATCATATTTTCAATTTAATTGACTGATATTGGGTTATTTAGAATTTTTATTTCTTCTCTATTCAGATTTGGCAATTCATATGTCTCTAGGAACCTCTCCACTTCTGTATTTTCTATCTTATTAGCGTACAGGTTCTGGAAGTAGGTATTAATGAACTTCTGGATTTTCACAGGATCCATTGTGATTTCACCCTTTTCATTCCTAATTGCTTGAATCTGAGTTTTCTCTTTCCTCTTTTGATAAGGTAGTCTAAGTGTTTATTAATTTTATTCAATCTTTCAAAGAATCAACTCTTCAATTCATTGATTCTTTGTATTATTTTCTTAGTTTCAAATGCATTAATTTGTGCTCTGATCTTATAATTTCCTCTCCCCTACAAGCTTTGGGTTTGATTTCTTCTTTCTTTTCTAGGAGTTTGAGGTTCAACATTAAGTTGTTTGTTTGAGCTTTTTTCTGTTTTCCTGAGATGAAAATTTTCTGCTATAAATTTCCTTTGTAGAACTGATTTCATTGCATCCTATAAGTTCCAGTATGTTGTATCGGCATCATTTATATAGATACTGTTTAAATTCTTCTTTAATTTTCTCTGTGACCCACTGGTTGCTCAGGAGGGTATTGTTTAATTTCCTATTGTTTATATAGTTTTTGTTGTTTCTTTTGCCTTTGAATTCCAATTTCATCACACTATGGTCAAATAATATGCCTGGAATAACTTCAATTCTGCTTCATTTACTTAAGCACATTCTATGGGTTAATATGTGGTCTACTTTCGAGAACATCCTTTGTGCAAAGGACAATAATGTATATTCTGATGTGGGGTGGAACACTCTGCAGACATCTACTAAGTCCATTTGTTTACAGGTTTGGTTTAATTCTGATATTTCTTTGTTGATTTTTTTGTCTAGTTGATCTATCTATCTATTTTTGAAAGTAGGGTATTAAAGACCCCCATTCCAATTGTGTTAGTGCTTACTTGATTTTTCATGTTCATTAATATTTGTTTTATGTACTTGAGTGCACCAGTATTTGATGCTTGTATATTTATGATTGTTATCTCTTCTTCATGGAGTCGTCCATTAACAAGTATACTGTGACCTTCTTTGTCACTTTTGATCCGTCTTGGCTTGAAGTTCACATTGTCTGAAAATAGAATAGCTACCCCTGCTTTTTTCTGGGACCTGTCACATGGAATATTGTTTTCCATCCTTTGACTTTCAGTCTACGAACTTCTTCGTGTGTTAAATGTGTTTCTTGATTGCAGCATAATTTTAGATCTCACTTCTTGAGCTAGACTGCCAATCTGTTTCTTTTGACTAGTGAATTGAGACCATTTACACTGGTCCATTATAACAGATATGTATTGGTTTATCTTTCTAATATTATTTTCCTGTCTTTGGTTCCGTATCTTTCCCCTGTTTAGTTGCTTGCCTTGCCTGGTGGCTTCTTTCTATTGGTGTCCTTTTAATTGTGGTCTTTATTTCCTCTTTCTAGTATATTCTGAAGAGCATTCTGAAGAGCTTATTCTGTGATTATGAATATAATCAGGTGTTCTTTGTCTTGGAAGTATCTTATTTTTCCATCAATTTTGAAACTTAGTCTTGCAGGATACATCCACCTGGTTTGGGGGTTGTTTTCTTTGGGGGCTTGAAATACTTCACTCCAAGCTCTCCTTGATTGAGGATTTGTGTTGAGAAGTCTGCTATTATTGTGATGGGCTTTCCTTTATAGGTGATTTGTTTCTTCTCTAAATTCTTAATAAATTGAAGATGAACTGATTATTTACATCTTTTTTCTGTTTTTGTGATAAATTGTATTTATTGATCTTTGAAAATTAAATCTATTTTGCTTCCCTGGGCATCACTTTCCTTGATTTCCTTATATGTGTAAATAATAGTTCTTTGAGGAATTTTGTATATATTTTTGAGAGATATTCTTCTGTAGATTGTTTTTAAAAAAATATTTCTTCCAGGTTTGGTACCAGAGTTAACCTAGCTTCATAAAATAATTTGGAAGAATCTACACCACCTCTATTTTCTGGAAGACAATTTTATAAAAATTGGCACTATTTTTTCTTGTACATTTGATAGAATTCACTAGCTCGATGTCTGATGGTATATTGAAATGAACAGTTAATGATTACAATTTTTTATGTTCTGATCAATTGTGCATGCTTGTGTCTGGCGGTCTGAGCAACTGATTTGAAGGTAACAATATGCAATGGAATTGCAATGGTGAACTCCTACCATCCTGTCTAGTGAAACTCTGTATTATGTCTAATGTTTTATTGAAGAATTATTTTATTATTCTCTTTAATGGTTTGAGCAATCTTTCATTCTTACATCCATAATCTGAGCAATGTAGTTGAAGATAGCGATATGCAATGTAACAACCACTGTTGATTCATATTATTTTGTCTTGAGATTCTGTATCACTTCAAATGTTCTTGCTTTGATTTGTTATGTTCGTGACACAGGTATGCCGCTACTGTTCTATTTCTTTGTTTCTCACTTACTACTCTCTTTAAAATAAGAAAAAAATTTAAAAAAAGAATTCACTAGCTTATAACCCACAAGTACAGTTTTCTTTGTGGGAAAGTCTTTTTTATAATAAATGTAATGTCTTTAAAATGAACTATTGAGATACTCAATTTGTACATGAGTCAATTTTATTAACTTGTAATTAAGAATACATTTTACTACATAAAAGTTATTACATGCTTTGTCATGAATTTTAAATTTCAGTCTTGTATTCTCACATCTGGTAATCTGAGCAGTTTCATCAATGATAACAATATGTAATATAAAAACCACTGTTAATTGTTATCATCTTGTTTTGAAATTCTGTACCATTTTTATTGTTTTTGTGTTGTTTTGTTTTTGTCTTTGTTGGTGTTATTGTTTTTCTCCTTAAAATAAAAGATGTCCTTATTATAATTTTAATATCTCCATGATTCACAGTGATATCTTCTTTTACATTTCAGATATTGACAACTTATACTTTTGTTTTCTTTTCTTTACCTCTCTTAGTAGAGCTCATCATCTAAAATTATCTATAAAAATCTCTTAGTTTACCCACTAGATATATGGGATTTTATGTCTATAATCCTTTAAATTGCTTTTTATTTTATTTTTTAAAGAGAATAAAAGTAATAAAAAGCATTAGAAACAATACAGAGCTTCACAGTATGATAGGAATGCAACAGTGGTTGTTATATTACATACTGTTGTCTTCAAATTAGTTGTTCAGATTACCAGATATAAGCACGCAAAATTATTTCATGAAACTTTATTTTTTGGTTAATGTTTCTTTATAGCCTTGCTTTCATTACTTCCTGTAGGACAGCAAAGAAGCAATTACCTTGCTACTTAAACAGTCTTTTTTCAATAATCAATTATAAAATTATAGGAATTTCACCTCGTTCTCATGAGGATCCTTTGCCTATTTCAGGTACATTTGTACTGAGTGTGGGAGTAAATCAACATTAAGTCAAACAGCAGCAGGAAGTCACATTATTTTAATTTGTTCTCTTCCTCCATTAACATGCACTAAAAACACCAAAATTATAGTTATACAACTGAAAAGTACTATGATGTTATTCCAATGTGTAGAGAAATGTTACATGAGTCAAGACATTTCCTTTTTGTTTCTACAGTGACAGCCTCGTGGGGGTAAACTGCATGAATTTTAATAAACTTCAAGAGGAGAAATATTTCATCAAGACAAAGAAGTTCTTAATGATTGGTAAAAGCAAGATATGTGTGAAGTTTAGAGAAGAGAATCTAGCTTGTAAAAGAGTGGAAATTGTCCATATAGGTAAGCAGTTGTGCATGAGTATGGCTGTCACTTTTCCAATATCTGCAGACACTGTCTGGATTTATTGTTTGTTAAAAACGACAAATTGTGAAAACAATCTGCAACAGATAATAGCAAATTCTCAAATGCAATTTTTAAACAAGTAAAAAACCTAACACTTCGAAGTACCAATTCTTATGGTGAAAGAATTATAGAGATGTTCAAACTGAGCTTTGGAAGAGGGTTTTTACACCTACAGATCAAGGAAAGAGCAGATCAGTGTGAAGTATCTAGCTGGAGCTGAGCCTCCTGTCAGCCACTGACACATGTCCTTTCCTCTTCACCTTGCCTTCTCCCGAATTCCTTGTAGTCCTCTCTTCACACGTGAGAGTACTTAGCTAAATTATCAAGGTATGTTTGAAAGCACATATGTTTTCTGTATTAGAGTTTTCCAGAGGAAAGAGAATCCATAGGAAGAGATGGAGATAATAGATAGATACATATACAATATGTACATAGATATGATAAATGATAGACAGATACATAGATTTGTTTTGGGGTGAATGTTGCCAGTTTCTAACTGTGTGGCAAGGGTGAATGTTGCATCCTTAAATCTAAATTCTTCTGGGCAAGAAACTCAAGAACATTTTTTTTCTACTTTGTTTTCTTGAAACAAACTTATTTTTTCAAGGAACTGTGGTCTTTGTTATTAAGGCCTTCTACTGATTGAATGGTGCCTACCACAAATGGAAGGTGACGTGCTCCACTCAAAGTCTACTCATTCAAATTTCAAACATATGTTTTAAAAAAATCTCTAGATTGGAATTTGACCACATAGGTGAACACTATGGTTTCGACTATAAAGGCCCTGAGTTTAATTTCCAATAACACACACACACACTCAAAAGACGGCAAAACAAAAAATAAAACAGAAGTTCTATTATTAAATGATTATCTTGGAATAAAAGCAAATGTTGTTGAAAAGAAGCATTAGGCAACACTGCCACACCAGTGCATTGTCCAGGATGAAGATGCCAGCAGTAGGGCAGCTCAGAGCCTGAGGCATGAGGAAGCTTGGTTTGGGTCATTTGGAGCCAGCTTTCTAATGAATGGATGGTTAGTTTGTGCACTACATGAAAGCATCATACTTAAGTATTTCTTACTTAAATATTACTTTGGTAATGTATATTCATTTTTTTCTGAGAGAAGGCAGAGATACATTGTCTTTTGAGAGTTTGCTGGAATATCAGTGGAGAGCTCATTCTTACAGAAACCTGCACCAACACACAACCCCTAAATGCATATAAACACAACACACCCATAGGCTCCAGATGACACCCTGCTACACCCACATGCCTAGATCTCAAGTTCTGGATGCTCTTAGAGACCTACTCTCTGCACCCACAGACAGACTGCAGCCTTCATGCCTCTCCTCTTCGGGCTCTGAAGAACACTTTTAAGCAAGCAGAATGAGATGTGATGGGGTTTCACAGCAACGTCTTACCCTAACTCCTACTGTGATAATTTATTCATGGATTTACCACTGAACTGAACTTATTTATTTTTTTTAATTTTTATTTTAAAGAGAGTAGTACATGAGAAACAAACCAGCAAAAAAATAGCACAGTAGCAGCATACCAGTATCACGAACATAAACAGATCAAAGTTAAAACATTCAAAGAACTGAATTTACACTGAATGCTCTGGATTGAACCCTAAGTCCAGAGGTTCATTGCAACCAGATGCTCCCTCCCTTTCTCCCCTTCCTTTATGTGTCCCCACCCCTCACCCAGTAAGGCCACAAGGTGCAGCTTCCTACCTTCCCACTTGGATTGGTCAAATAGATTGATATGGTTTTTCAGACTATATAAGAACATATTAACATTTAAAATATGGTTAAGAAATGAGCAACTTCTAATTTGTGCAGATAATTTGAGCTGGAAGCAGAACTGCCTGGAAAGCTCTGAACATGCCAACATGACATAGCAGGCTGAAAGACTCAAAGCTAAGTGTAAAGAGGTGTGATTCAGAAGCAGATCACATCAAATTCAAGTCCCATATAACCGTTTTCTGGGGATAAGGATGTAGGTCAATGAACCTCAATTAATTAAAATTTGGTTTCCTCATCAGTATATGTTGATGAGTAACTATCATTTGAAGTCAGCATAAGCAAAACACTCCGTGGTTGGTAGGTGGGTAATCAGTATCTGCTCTGTTCTTCCCGAGTTCCTCCATTATTATTGAGAGTCCTTGAGAAATGGATTCAGGCAGGAGATTAACCTCAGAGACTTTTGTTCTGAATGTAAAGGAAGTATAGGGGTAAGAGGGTCACCAGGATTCTCTGTTGGGCTACTTCTCTATACCCTCCACCTTTCATCCTGCTTCCTTCAAGTCTATGACATCCTCATTTTTTATAGTAATTCTAAGGGTGCAAAAGGATAAACCACCCCTTCACAAGAAACTCAAGGATAAAGAATGAATTTCATTTTTAGTATCTCCAGAGCAATGCAGTAGAAAAGCAGGCAGTCACCACAATAATATAAGTGAATATAATACTTGCATTCTGGGCCAAACTCCCCTATGAGGTCTTCATTTGCTTAGGCCAGTAGTTCAGGCTCAAGCCCAATTTCAACTGCCTAGAATATGGCTCAGTCTACTAAGTGCAAGTCTGTGAACATACAGCTTCTCATTAGCAACAGGGCCTGAGATCAGTCATGCCCCATCCCTAGACAACAAACTCCCCAGACCATGATAGAAAAGCAGTGAACACGAGGACAAAGGAGTCTCAGGTTAAAGGTAGGGAGCTGGCCTGGTGTCATTCTCTCTGTCTATTCTACCTAAAAAGCTACTGATCTCCTTCCAACAGGATATCTCACATGACACATTTGATCCTCACAGCAACTTTGGGAGGCAGATAAAGAGGAGGAAGAGGCCCCCAAGGAGTTCAGAGTTAAGGCATCTGAGACTGACAGACGAGAAAGTCTGAGGGCCCGCAGGAAGTTGTGTGCTAGGCCCTGGATGTAGATCTTTCCCTTCCATGGACTGAGAGGTGCAAAATTTCCCAGCTATAGCCTCATTTTGTTGGAAGAACGAACTCAAAGTTTACATTATATTGCTTTGGGGTAATTGTTAACAAGTTTTCTAGTATTACAGACAAGGAGAGTATGTTTTAGTATAAAATGAACACTAGTTGCTATAAGAAATAGTCTCACAGATGTGTGATATTTGACATTCTGTTTATTCCTTGCTCACTCACATAAGAGTGAAGATGACTGTTCCTAACTTGCAGATGTTGCTTCTCTAAGAAAAATTAGGGCTCCCTCCATCCTCTGCACTATCCAACACACAAGTCCAAGTGATGGAAAGGCTTTGAGAAGGGGAATTACCCACCGGTGGGAGAGCTCTGGGCCAAGCTGGAGCGGGGGTAGTCCTTTCCACTCACATTAATAGAAAGGCCACCAGCTGCAAAGGAGACTGGGAAATATGGTCTGCATTTGAACCCAAGAAAAAGAAGAAATAGATTTTTGATTAGTAAGCCAGCTACTGACACAGAAAGTATAGGAATGATCTGAAGAGTAGATGGACTTTAAAAATTATAGTTATTTCCTTGATGGCTTTATAGACAGACTTGATTTCTTCTTCCTTTGCAGTTAAACCTGAGGCTCCTTTTGACTTAAAAGTTATCTATCGTCAAAGAGCAAATGACTTTGAAGTGACATTCAATACATCACACTTGCAAAAGAAATATGTAAAAAAATTAATGCATGATGTAGCCTACTGCCACGAAAAAGATGGAAACAACTGGATGGTATGTAGATCACCTATGCCCATAAATTAAAAACTTCTTAATGTTATGTATTTTATTGTCCCAGCAATGAATTTACTTTGGAAAACTTAACAAATTTTTCCAGACTATCTCGTTTACCAAAAGATGCTCTCAGTATCATTTAGCTTCAAGTCCCACAAAACCTGCACCTTCCTTGGCCCATCCTGACCTAGCTCTAATACATTTTCCTTGCTCAGCTTTTTCTCCTTATAATATTTCTAACTTAATTAATCACAACATAGATTGAGATCAAAGTGATCCTCAAAAAGTGTTATGTCTAGTACCACATTCTTAGGTAAACCAGACAAATAACACTTCTGGGTAGCATCATCAAGAATTACCTACAATTTTGTTTTGAGATTTGTGGGAGCAGCATAAGGTAAGAAGAGGATACAGAAAGTTTGTCCATGTTTTGGTTTTATTCTAAAGTCTGAAGTTTTAGTCACTGAAGTCATGATTTTGCATTTCTTCTTCACAGTCTGAATGTTTATTTAGTTTTTTTCTTCAGGATTTGCTGAGTCTGAAGCGACCTGACTGCTTCCGCTACCTGTTTGAGGGAGGAGGTGGGAGTAAAGCAAAACATCAGGGGTTATTTGACTTCTGCTAAGATGCTGACTTCAGGGCAGAAAACATATGCTTTGTGTTTCTCAAGGTTTACAGCATGCCCACTGCCCCCCTTGATCAGGCCAGGATTGCTCTTAATTGTTCACAGTACACTCCCCACCATCATTATTCATCTGGAAACGGTACTAGTGGGAAAGCAAATATAGTCAATAAGGAAGGGAAGAGTTTAAATAAGTGCCCCTAGGACAATATATTGTCTGGGAAAAAATAAATTAAGTGTCTGGCCCCCACCATAGACTTATCCATGCCAACACAAGACAGACAAAAGTATAAGGCCAATTAAAAATTAAGATTAACCTACCACATATGCAACTGATAGTCAATATCTGTATAAAGAGCTGTAATGAATTATTAAGAAAGAGATAAATATTCTAATAGAAAAATAAAAAATCTGGAAATCTTTTATGAGTAAGACATGTAAATGCAATAAATATATACAAAAACAAATAAATGTAAATGACAATGGACTATTACTTTTCACCCATCAAAATGATAGAAAATTTTCATTCTCATTTTTTAAGGATAATACATAGTGTTGAGGAAACAGCTGTTTGTACATTGCTACTCACAACATAAAATGACATCTTTCTGGGGAGGAGTTATTCTTGCTGCTTAATCTATCCTTTCATTTCCCTTTAGCATGTGAAAGGACAGAGAAACTAAAGAATTTCTTTCAGCATGGAAAGGAAGATGAAATCTTGGGGGTGATGTCTATCTTTCTGAAGTGGAAAAACCTAACTCAAGTGAATAAAATTCACACCAAGACAGTTCTCTTTGGCCACTCATGGCATCATTTATGAGCTCAGAGAATCTGCTCCTGATTCTGCAGCTAAACCTTCCACATACTTGATCTCCTTAGTTTGACAAACATGAGATCCCCTCTCAGGGGGATGCCTAAAATTCTGAAGAAGTTCACCTTAAGGTGTGTCTTGGGTGTCTTGGTTACTTTTCTCTCGTTGCTGAGACAAAATACCCAACGCCCAAAATGAAGGAAGGAAAGGTTTATTTAGCTCACAGTTTGTGGAGGTTTCAGCCCATACTTGGCTGGCTCTGAGGCAGAAGGTAGCAAAGCAACAAGAGCAAGCGGGGGAATGGCAGCCGAACAGCAAACAGCCAGAGCAAACGGAGGAATGGCGGCAAGCAGCTTCTTTCCCTGCCTTCCTTTGTAAACAGGCTACCCACACCTAAGGGGTGTGTAGCTCTCACATAATCTCCATGCCCTCCTCTTCCACGGGCTCAGGATGTATACAAAGTAAGCACTCTGGCTTCCTGCTAAGTTACTTAGCCAAACCTCTAGACTCCCCAAGTTGACACAATGTATCAACCATAACAAGGTGATTTGGGAAATCTGAGCAACACCTCTTTTTTACCTCCTAAAAATATCTAATGGCATGTTTTACTCTTCAGCATATGAATATAACCAACACAAGGCTGACACTCCCACAGAGAAAGCTACAATCTGATGCAATGTATGAGATTAAAGTTCGATCCATTCCTGATAGTGACTATTACAAAGGCTTCTGGAGTGACTGGAGTCCAAGTTCTCATTTCAAAACTCCAGATAGCGCAGGTGAGCAATGGCTGTAGAAAATCCTCCTTTCTCTTACAAAACACTGTACATCAAAGTGTGAAGTAGAAAGGGAGGGGGAGATTGATGCAATGAACCTGTTGGTTAGGACACCCCAGGGAGGGTGTTCTTCCACTCTCTTTGGAGAATGTTCTGCCTCCCATCTTTGCCCTTTATATTTTTCTTTATAAGCAGTGGGAGCAGAAGTCCTTAACAGCTGAGAACTGATCTAGTTGTCTTTTTTTTTTTTTTTTTTTTTTTTTTTTTTTGGTTTTTCTCCGGTACCAGGAGCCGAACTCACGACCTTGCACTTGCCAGGCAGGCGCTTTGCTGCTGAGCTAAATCCCCAGCCCGATCTAGTTGTCTTAAAGCCACAGCCTCAAGTGTTCCTGGGAGCTGCTACTTATCAAAATCCCTGTGACTACCTTCTGTCTACCAGTTTAGACTGGGATCCCAAGAGTTGGTCTCTTTAGAATCCTCAAGAGAACACCTTTTTGGATGACATGTGGGCAAACCAGCAGGGCTGCCCTACATCTCCTTTTCCAAAATTACAAAGATGTCCTGGGGGTCACAAAGTCATATTAACCAGAAAAACCAGAGAACAGGAAAGTTCCCCCAAAAACCCAACATAGACCTTCCCTTTGCAGGTTGGAAAAGCTGTAACACTCTCATGCCAACTTCCCATTCTCACCCTAGCACTTGTTATGACCTTAGGGTGGACATTTATATTTTCAGCCCTACTTTGACTTCTTTTCATTGGTGGAAGGACTTGGGAAGGGACTAATAATGCCTTTGATGCTAGATCACTTCTGTATTTCAAGCAGCTGATATCCTAGCCCTAGTCACCCGTCAGTGTCACTTAAACCAGACAGATATTCTTGTTTACCAAAAAACAACTTTCAAGAAATAACAAAAGATGCTGAGTGTAGTGGTACACACCTGTAATCCCAGCGCTCTGGAGGCTGAGGCAGGAAGATCAAGGCCAAGGGCTACACAGCTACAGAGTGAGACCCTGACTCAAAAAAAAACAAATAAAAAAGAAATTACAAAAGATCCTATGTCACTGAATAAACAATGTTTTCTGAAAGTCTTGCTGGATGTTAATCACAAATTATGCTTGTATTTCAGAAGAGATGAATCCTGTTTTACTAACTATCGGCGTTACCAGCTTTTTTTCTGTGGTTCTGTTGGTCATTTTAGCCTGTGCATTATGGAAAAAAAGGTGACTTTTAAAAAATAATCTAGAAGGCATTTGTGAGAATCTCAGTTATTTATTGAAAGCTTGAGCCCCAATTATTGATAAGAACTTTGCAAAATGCAGTTAGATATACAAGGAATTATAGCACTCACCCCTACCCATTCACAACTGATTTCATAAGAGGCCAAAATGTACAAACTGAACACAAGACAAACCCTATTCCTAAAATAAAAATCACACCAGCTAAATTACTTAATATAAGCAGATGTTTTCAGCATAGGGCCATTCAACCAGGACTGCAAATCAATTTGAAAAGTATTGCCATAAAGCAATTTCCCTGAGTAACTTAGAACATATTCCCCACTTCTACTAAAAGTAGAGCAAAGGACTTATGGTCAGTAAGGAGAAGGACTATGATGAGACCACCTGTACTGGGGGTAAATGACCAGGCCAAATTTTAGTTTCAGAGCTACACCAAAATTATCTCATTCCATCATTGTTCCTTCCCTCTGGGAGCTTCTTCTTCCCACATGTACTGTTGTAATATCTTGTGTGCAGAGTAGATTAATAATAATGATCTCTGGTCCAGCCATTCCTTGGATTGATAGTGCACTGAGGACCAGAGAAAGCGTGTCGTTTGTCCATGGTCACCCATTATTTGTGGTTCCCAGTTCACAATAAGTTGAAAGACTTATCAAGCCTGTTCTTTCTGCCAGTCACTTTATCTGTCAATGTCATCTGATTTCAGGATTAAGCCTATCATATGGCCAAGTCTTCCTGATCATAAGAAGACTCTGGAACAGTTGTGTAAGAAACCAGAAAAAGTAAGTGTGTCTGGTGCTTAAAGAAGCACTATGGTAGTACCATCCCAGTAGCTAAGAATGATCTTCTAGGACAAGGAATAGCTGCATCTCAACTTCTGTCTTGTATGCAGCCCTTAGCTAGCGTTCTGTATAAGACCCTAGCTACAGGCCCCTGTAGGTAAGGAACTAAAATGAGATGCAAGTCTCAGAACTTCTAGGTTTGTCAGGAGGACACAGCAAGTGGTTATTTCAAACCCTGAAGGGTCATAGCGCCTCCAGAGACCAAAGAACGTGTGTATAAGTCTCAGACATTCCCTGGTAAACCCTGGTCAGGAGTTCTTTAAATCTGTGTCTGAACTGTTTGTTGGTCCATCTCTCTGCCATCATCTGAATGTCGTTCTGTTTTGTTCTGTGCAGAATTTTAATGTGAGTTTCAATCCTGAAAGTTTTTTGGACTGCCAGATACATAAAGTTGATGACATTCAATCTAGAGATGAAGTGGAAAACTTTCTGCAAGACACTCTTTCTCCACAACTACAAGAGTCTGAGAAGCAGGGACTTACAGGGAGTAGGCCTGGACCCAACTGGCCATCCCAGAGTCCAGTTATCACCACAGAAACTTTCAAAGGAGAATTACCTTTCGGACGTCCTGCTGGAAATGTCAGTGCAAGCAATGCCTCCATGCTCCCCTCTCTCTGGGCCCCAGGCTGCAGGGAGGGTATCAGCAGTGGCTCTCCTGTGTACCAAGACTTGCTGCTTAGTCCTGGAACTACTGACAGCGCCATGCTCCAGCCATTTCCTCACCAGCCAGGAATCCTGACATTGAACCCAGATGTTCAGGGACAGCCCATCCTCACTTCTTTGAGGCAAAATCAAGAAGAAGCTTATGTCACCATGTCCAGCTTTTACAAAAACCAGTGAACTGTAGGATACTCAAGACAGTCCCTATTATGACTGATGATGATGGCTGGAAATGAAGTCTAGAGTTCTTATTCTGCTTCTAAACACAAAGAAGGCAAAGTTAATGCTACCCAAAAACATAGTCTTCAGGATTCTGAAACATCGCTTTGACCTGCTGCTTCAGTTGCCTTCAACATAAGGGAGGAGCGTTCTGCTTCTACCATGTTGATTTGGTCATATTGTTTCAGCGAATTAACTATGTAGGGCTTAAAAGTAGGAATGACTGAAAGAAATATTGAAGGAAAGGATAGAGGAATGAGGAACACAGGAAGGGGGTAAAGGAAAAAAGATGAGAAGGAAATCAGAATGACAATTATTGTTATTAAGACTTAGTTTATAACCACCATTGTGCTGAGTGCACTACGTTTTGCCTTTTGCCTTTCATTCTCATAATAATCCTGGTAGATAGGAATTGTAATCGTCATTATTATTCCCTTTTTTATACATGAAGAAATTGAGACTGAGGGCTTAACAAATTTATCCAAGTTGTCCATTAAGTGAGGATTGGACTCAAGATCAGATGCCCAGAGTCTGACTGTCATGTCCCTGTAGATGAGACTTGTCTTACCTACAATGTGTTCCATTTTTTAATTGCACATGCAGTTGGATGGCTATATAATTAATTATGCAAACTGGCTCATTTTTGAAAGGCAAAGGGACAGTTATAAATAATCACCTGAGCATAACAAGCATAAACTGGGATTGTTCTATATAAATGGGGTTACATAGTTATGTCAATTAAAATTGCTGTGAGAAAGAAAGTGGGGTGAGGGACATAAATGGACTTATGTGTATGAAGCACAGTGGCCAGTCATACCAAGAAAGGGAAAAAGGCAAGAAAGAGCCATCAAGCCAATTTGATTTTGTTTTTATGAAAATGATGTCAGGAGGTAATACGTTAGAAGCCCAGAATTTCTTTTGCTAGTTATCAAGACCAGGATTCTCTTGCTGCTACCCCAAATACAACCACATTTATTCAGGATTGCAGAAGAACATATTGCTGGCCCTGAAATGGGATCTGACCAAGAAGCCAAGTCAAGGCACTCAGTTAATCCCTCTCCCATGGGCTGTCTGCACTGCTTGTACTCAGAATCACACAGGGCAGAGGTGGCCCAGGGAAGTAAAGAAAGTTGAGTTCAGGGCTTTATTTGGTATCTATTGTTGCTTATGTATTAAATTTTCTTTTTTTATTTTATTTTATTTAGAAAGATTAAGTGATTTTAATTTTTAAACATCTTTTGTGTTTGTCTTGTGCTATCTGTGAACGAAGTTTACATTGTGGACTAGTGGACCCTATCTATTGGTGTAAGTCCCAGCCATAATCAGAACATTATTTTCTTCAGATGAATGTTTTACTTTCCAAAGTGCTTTCCTCTATAATAATTGTAATGAATATAGTACTATAATTACTTAGATTTGCTTGGTACTTTTTGATTTTCACAGCACTTCTTTAAACATTCTCATCTCCTTCACAAACACAGAAAAATCTGCTATATGCCAATCATGATGTTAGACACAAGAGATATGAGGACATATAACCATAGAATTCCACCTCATAAGATGCAAAATCTAACAAAAAGGACAACTTCTAAATAAATTATTACAATTTATAAAATTGTAAATTTGTAAAATTTTATAACAAGGTATGTTAAAAGTACCCTGTCAAAGACAAAAAACAATGCCACAAAAATGTCATAAATTTGCATAAAGGGAAGATGGAATCTGCCTGGGATATAAGGAGAAAAGATCATTTCCACCAGGGAGACAGATTCTCTTTTAATTTTTTGAGTACATGAGAGCCAAATCTGAAAGAGAAAGTCACAAAAATCTCATGCCTAGATTAGGCCTTTGACATTTTAACCATGGCTGGTCTTAGAAGGATTTATAATATTATACTTGGTTTATGAGAATGTGGGGACATAGGACAAGTTAGCTACTCAACTGATGAATCATCTGTACCTCTGATGTAAATAATCTCTCAAAGAAAGGAAAACTAATTCCAGGGATTATCAAGGTCCTTCTTCACTTCTAAAATGCTTTGTTTCAGTGTCATTTGGTACTTGTTATAATTTTAATTTAGTGTGTGTCTGTTATTGGAAGCATTTTAAATTTGTGTATTACAATCATAATTGTAATGGCTACTGATACTTTATTATATACTCAGAAACAATAATAATGTAAGTTTGTCCATTCATTCTGCCCAATCCCTTCTTGGATTTCTTTAAGAAAGAAAAACTCCTGGTCAAAAACAATGTGTAAGTCAGATATGACAACTACCAGCTCCATGTAGCACAAAATAAAGAGACAACTGAGAAAGAGGCAGCTAATGGGCCAACAACTGTGCCTGGCTCCCATGGACCTTGGATTTTCAAGTGATTTTCTATAACTCTGTCTGTCTCTTTAATGTGGATTCCAGAGAAATTTGCTTCAGAAATTCCAAATATGTTTTACCTTACATATACATGCTTGTGTTTTCTTAGCTCTTGTAGAGTGCTACAGAACTTGGAACTGACCAAGAAGACGGTGAGCACCTGGAAGTGATACAGCTTAGAAGCCACTTTTGCCAGTTCATTGGTTTGGTGGATTATCCTTAAAAATGCACATCATTCACTACAGTGAAGGTGTTTGATTTAATTGTGTACTTTTTATATGCATTACTTATATTTTGCAGAGCTGCTAAGTACATAAGTAGATACTGTATGTTGCCATTTTGTATTTAAATAAATGCTATTTAATTAAATGCTATGGCCATACTGTCATCTATATAAACTACAGATAGAGGAGATATCCAGAACAGACCACAGCTATCACCCATTGGAAATATTCTGAGGTCATTTGTTGGTATTTTGTGGGTTTGGGTATCCAGAAAAATTTTTTATCATCAGTTAAGTAGTTAATGTGCAATAGCAACTTGTTAAGAATCTACCCTGCACTCCTTTATATTGTGCTAGGCACTAGGGTTGCAGAGATGAAATGGGACCTTCCAAGCTGTCAGTTACATGGGGAAAATATACATAGGTTATTACAATGCCATACCATTGCCTTAAGGCAAAGATCAGCCAAGATTCTGAACTTTAAGCAATAGAAACCAACTCTAGTTAATTTGAGCAGAAAAATAATTTATTAGAAGCTATTAGGAGGCTTACAGGATAACCAGGAGGGTAAAAGAGCCAGTTTTACAAGCAACAGAGTACTCCATATCTGCCACTGGCATTTGCAGAACTGAAAATAGCCACTGCTTCGGCTGCCACCCAGCTTCTGAGTAGTCTCAGCAGCAGCGTCCAGCCAGCTTCATATTACTAGCTGCTCAGGTAACAGAAGAGCTGGATCTGGTGATTGATGGCAGCAAAGCTTTGCCTATGTGCCTGGGCCCCTACAGTGAGTGGCGGGGAAAAGAGTAACCAGCATTTATATCTTCTACAGTAAGAGCCAGGTACTTCTTTGAGGTAGGGCACTTTCCAAATATAGAATGGAGGCTCCACTTCTGGATGAGGAAAACTGACCGAAAACCGATGAAAGACATATTAAGGAAAAAGAGCTAAGAAGAAGCAAAATGAAGGGACTACCCTTGATGTGGTAGTGCAGGGAGTTACAGTGTTCCAGGTAGCTTGGGATAGGTAATAAGTGACACTATGCCAGGTAATGGACCCTGGAGATTAGGGAGAGACTTTCCCGGCAGAGGAAGCAGCATGTCCAAAGTCATGGAGCTGCGAGAAAAGGAAATGTGGAGAGCTAGAAATATAGCAGATGATTTTTCTTTAGTTGTCTCAGTTAGGACCAGTTAGGTATTGCTGGTTACTCCTGAAAATCAGGTAAAGTTAGAACATGTGTTGCGTTAGATGATTTTTTCCACTGTGGGACAAAATGCTGAGCACTCACAATTTAAAAGAGGAGAGTTTTATTCTGGCTTACAGTTTTTAGAGGATTCAAGCCATGGTTGACTGGCTCCATGGCAGAAATGACATGACAGAAGGGTACAGCAGAAGAAAGACTGTCACCCATGGCAGCCAGGAAGCAGAGAGAGAAGGGAGAAGGCAAGGTCAAGAACAGTACACCCTTCCAGGTCTTCCAGCTTGTGTCCCCAGTCACACACCTCCACCCGGACCCCACCTCCTAACAGCACATGAACTTATCAGCGAACTAATCCACTTATATGTGTAGTGTGCCCCAAAGATCCAATAACCATCCCAAAGCTCCACATCTGAATATATCAGACTTTGGGGGAGCATTTTAAATCTAAATCGTAACGTGTTCACCTTGTACATTTACTTTAACTGGAAACATATCTGTATATCCTTTAACCATTTATTTGTTATATCTTAGTATGTTTGGTCTGTCTTAACAAAATCCATGGTTTGAGTAACTCACAAACAACAGAAATTTGTTTCTCACATTTCTAGTTGATGGGAAGTTCAATATCAGGGTTTCAGAATGGCAGGGTTCTGCTGAGGGCTTTCATTCAGACTGCAGACAATAAACCTCCCGCTGCATCTTTATATCATGAAAAGGACAAAAGAATTCCCTTGGGTATCTTTTATAAACCTTCGCTTCTTACTACTGCAGCCTTAGAGGTTAGGATTTCAGCATGTGAACTATAAGAGGACACGGACATTCAGACCATAGCGTGTTATAAGAGCAAAGCCATTCTTTTGAGTGTGGGGTCATTGATTCTACTTCCCCTTTGTCTTTTTTACTTAATACACACTAATACCACATCATGTGCTCTATCTAGTTTTGCTTTCTTTATAATGGAAGAAAAGTTAAAGACATTTGCAAAGGAGCTTAAATGTAAAGGTCTATTTCCTTAAAGACCTACAGTCTCTAGATCTTCAACCTTCCACCCCAGTTTGCCTGCACTATTCTTTCAATATACCACTCTCAAGTCTTTTCAAATGTTTTCAAAGTATGAATGTGTCAAAAGCTGTCTTTCTTTGCATACTCACATTTTATCAGTTTGCATAATGTAATTACAGCAGTAAGTTCTGATTTGGGCAAGTTTGGGGACACACACAAATGACTTAGGTGAGTTTGGCTGTCACCTGGTGGGAGCAGAGGTACAAGAGGCACTAAAGAATCACCTGCTATCATCCCAGTCTCAATGTGAGCATCAGTGCGTTTAAGAGAGAGACCCTGCTGTTTTCTTCAGCAGGAAGTTCAGTGAAAGATGTCCACAGACATCTACCTAATTCAGCATCCTCAGTAGAGCTGGCAGAGTAGTATCCGGGGATGACACTTGGGAGAACTAATGGGAGCCAACAATTAGGTGCATGACATGCCACCCTATGAAGCTGTGCTGTAGTCCACAGGGTCTGGGAGTCTATGGAATGATTTTAGTCAGAAGTGCGGCACACTAAATGTTTATGTCCACGTCTCTGTTGCATTATGGAGTAGTGATTCAGCAGAACATTAATAAAAAATAATTTTTATGTCTTTTTAGTAACTGTTGAATTCTCTTGTCTAAGTCAGGTTCCTTCCACTTACCAAAGTTTAACTCAGTCTTATTTCAAAATACAATCTTCTATTGTCATCAAAGTCATACACATCCTCATCATAGGCTTGATGCATGAGCAATTTAGACAGAAAGCAAGATAATAGTTCCTGTTCGCTCCACTCGTCATCCTTCTGTTTTTTCTTCTTCCTCTTTCCTCCTTCCCCAACTTCATCCTGCCCCTTCCTCCTCCTTCTCCTTGATTTTTTAACATCTTAAAATATCACATATTTTTTATTTTAAAGAGAATAATAAAAAAGAACAACAGCAAAATACATAGACAAAAGCAAAACAAAGCAAAAACAATAAAAATGATACGGGCTTTCAGAACACAATGATAGGAATGAACAATGGCTGTTCTATTACATATAAGGGGAGAGTATCCCACTCTTCTTATCTCAGAGTCTCAGCGAGTCTGGACACAGCGTTGTTGAGTTCTAGCAAGCACACAAATCAAAATGGTGGCCAGGGCTTGACTGTGTTCTGCAGGTTCAGTTAGTGGTAGCTCCATTTGTGAGCTTACTCAAGTTGGCAGAATATATTTCCTTATGACTCAGAGCCCTATTATAAAGATCTTTGCCACCATGTGGTTGTCTTCATAAGCTCTCTTACAACATGACTGCTTATTCCTTCAAAGCCAGTATGATACCATGAGCCTATGGAAGATAGAGTCTAACATAAGTAATATAATCACAGAGAAGCTATCGCACCATCTTTGCTTTGTTCTAGTGGTTAGAATCAACCCAAAGGTCATATAAATACAAGGGGGGAGAGATTAATCAAAGCCATGATTACTAGGAGGTGGGGTCATGGATGTCATGTACACATGAACTTAGTCATTCCCGTTTTAACTCTGTCTCTTCGTTAAGTCTCAGTTAAATCTCAGTTATATATAGTGGGTGTTATGGGTAAAATTTTATCCACCAAAACTCATAGTTTGAAGTCCTAATATCCAATAACTCTGAGTGTGACCTTAGTTGAAGAGAGGTTCTTAACAGAGGTAACAAGTTAAAATGAAGTTATTAAGAGGGGCCTTAGTCTACTATAACTGTTGTCTTATAAAAAAAGGGAAATATAGGGACAGATATGCACACAGGAAAGAATACCGTGTGAACATGAAGGCAGAGATCAGCATTAATGGTTCCACAGTAAAAGGAATGTCTACAATCACCACAAATCACCAGTAGGTAAGAAATAGTCATGGGGTAGATTAACCTTCATACCTCTTGGAAAGAGCCAACCCTGCCAGCACTTTAACCTCGAACTCCTAGCCTCTAGAACTGAAGATACTGTGATAAATTTCTCCTGTTGAAGCCCCCCAGTTTCTGCTACTGAGAGGTAATCAATGGGGTCATGTGACTTCTCTGGAATCCCTTGAGGTCTGGGTTTCTTATCTTGTTCTTGGCAATTGTTCTTTCCATTGCATGTGTTACTGCTGCATGAGGTTTCCTCATATTCCTTCTGACTTGCACAGTCCACACACTGCTTATTAACTGGTTCTCCATGTGTACGCCACGAAACCTTTCAACCTGTAGTCTCTGCCCCTTGAACCATGGAACTATTTGGCTACTAGTCTGTACCCCTAAGGAGCACCTAGGAATCTCTGAGAATGCCCAGTTCCAACCCTGAATCTTACCTGTTTTCCTGCTGGGATCCCTTGTCTCCATTCCTAGGAATCAGATATAATTGACCTGGTGTAGAGCCTGGGTATCCATATTAATTTAAAATGGCACCCGGGTGATTCTGTTAATCTCTACTATGATTCTTTATTCCCTTCAAAACCACTTTCACAACTTTAATGACTTCATTAACTTTTGTTGATTGTTGTTATTGACCCTCTTTGTTTCTAAAATTCAAGTGCAGGCAAGTTCTACCATCTATTTTATTATTGGAATAAAACTGATGCTTAATCAGATCGAGTCAAGGATATAAAAGAATTGCTTCTAACAAAGAGACGAAGTTGTCTGAAATTCTGTATTGCTTGTATTGTTTTTGTGTTACTTTGTAAATGTATGTGTATTTCTTAATATGTTTTTGTTCTTTTAACTTTAAAATAAAGAAAAATAGAGGAAGTTGGCACACAAAGACACACTTTATGTCTGGGCCTCCGGCCCTTTAGATCAGGTTGTAGCATGCCCAAATTTGGTGGCAAGGTTGCAAAATCCATCTGTCCCTGTGCTAGTCAGGCTTTCACAATGTTACAGTAGCACTGGATTTATGTCTCAAGGTGAAGAATGAAACTGGCAGTGAAG